CTGTCTATATACCTAACAGGAGCAGACAGTTTAATACTTGGAACACGTCTTTTCATGTACCTAACAGTTGCTGTATTTTCTTAACTTTTTTTTGGTATTATATTTTGTTTCTAATTTATGAAATCTTAAAAATACATGTGAAATATAAACTCTTGCAAATATTCATTCTGATACAATTGATCAAATAATCAAATGATAAACATTCCTATACTCAAAATGTCACTGATTATATCTCAATCCTATTTCAAATAGAAGTTGTTTAAATCACATGTGAAAATAAGTAGTCACACTGAACTTCCTTTTCATTCAAAATAACAAGCTACAATACTGATATTCTAAAAGGAAAACACTTAATGTGGGGCAGGATATTTTAATGAGGGAGGAAACTACAAAAAATTGAATAGTCTTTAGAAATGTTTAACTAAGAAGGAGAGGGACACTCTGACAGGGATTCCAGTTTGTACTTACTCAAAGATGTTATAGCAAAGTTAATTTCTCCGACAGGGATTCCAGTTTGTACTTACTTGGATACATTATAGCAAAGTTAGTTTCTCCGACAGGGATTCCAGTTTTGTACTTACTCGGAGTCGTGATAACAAAGTTAATATCTCTGACAGGGATTCCAGTTTTGTACCTATTCCAAGTCGTGATAACAAAGTTAATATCTCCGACAGGGATTCCAGTTTTGTACTTACCTGGAGACGTGATAGCAAAGTTAATTTCTCTGACAGGGATTCCAGTTTTGTACTTACTCGGAGTCGTGATAACAAAGTTAATTTCTCTGACAGGGATTCCAGTTTTGTACTTACTCCGAGTTGTGATAACAAAGTAGATTTCTCTGACAGGGAAATTCCAGATTTGTACTTACTCGGAGACGTGATATTGGCATTGTGATGGCCATAGTACACTGGCAGATTAGTGGAGTTTTGGAGTAAACAAGACGGTGATTTGTCCTTCCACATCACAAAGTAGGCCACACCATTCCTCTCCTGCCCCGTAATACACACCGGCTCTGTAAATAGTCCTGACCTTTTGTTTGGGACTGACACTGTAGTTCGAACTGCATTTCTATTGGCTAAAAGTCGAACAGGATTTGACCAATCAGAATAAGTGTGACATGCTTCTGTTTTGATTGATTGAAGGATTATGTAATGAATCCATGAATCTTCTTCCTGAAGCTGGACAGTATCATGTGACTGGTCATGTGACCACTGGAGAAGTGGGAAGAGGTCAGTTTCCTGTTTACTGACCTTCGCATGGTCGGGTATACAAACACCCATTGAAGTAGCCATTCTTTGAACCTGAAAAATCCATTAAAAACAAAGATGAATAATTTCATATTTAGAGGTACATTCCATGGTACTTATGTTAAATGGTTACTTTCCTGGAAGATTAACAGTATGTATGTACAAAAAAGTAAATGATTTTCCAAATGAATTAATTATTTGAAAAAATATGTACTCTTCCTAGACTTCGATTCCAGAAAAAACACAGGAGAATTTGACATGAAGTCAAATCATTTAAAATAATCCTTCCCTCTTTTAAAGGTATGGCAAAGGACTTTAGGTAAGATTCTAGAAAGTCACACTTTTGTCAAGCTTAGGATTTAGGTGATAAGTTTTCTTCATTATACTGTCAGGGGAAATATTTGTGAGTCTTGCGCTTAAACAATTAGTTATGGCATGTCTTATTCTCTTACCTAACATTTGTTTTCTCCCATTAACTGGTGTATCCTGGGGAGGGGTGTGGGGTGACCGTACATGGTTTATCTCCCCTTACTTGGCCTTCCAGGGGTTATGTCCTTTCTAGCCTATCAGGTGTTAATTCTCCCCTCACCTGGCCCATTAAGGGTGACATCCTTTCTAGCCTATCTGGTGTTAATTCTCCCCTCACCTGGCCCATTAAGGGTGATGTCCTTTCTAGCCTATCTGGTGTTAATTCTCCCCTCACCTTACTATCATGACTTACTCCATTAAACTGATATATGTTCGTTATCCTACCTTATTTTGCCTGTCATAGATAAGATATCCTTATCTGATCTATCAGGAAAAAGTGACCTGCCCTTACCTGCCCTGTCCTGGGACAGACACACTGTAACAGTGCCTGGTAGGGTTGTCCCGTTAGGTTAGTGATACACATGGACTCCAGAATAGTAATAACTCGCATTCTGTGTCGAACCGAGGACTGGACTGTGAGAAAGTACACCTGTAACAAAGGAATCAGGGAGACATATATTCATGTTGTAATTAATTCTTTATAATGGTAAAAAATAATGTATGCATTGATACAATGGTAGGTTATTTATGCATTAATTATTTAAACAACATGAAAACATTTATTGAAGCCAAATAACGCTGTTAGTATCAACATGAATTAAAGTTTCTATAAAAAAATTATCCACTAAAGATGTGAATACAAACTGTTCCCTTGAATCATGTTTTTCCCTCCTCCTCTTGTGTCTCCTCCTGTGCTTAAAATGCCTACCAGTTGTTAAGTCCCCTTACATGACCTAGCTATGGTTATCTCCCCTTTCATGACCTAGCTATGGTTATCTACCCTTACATTACCTAGCTATGGTTATCTTCCCTTACATTACCTAGCTATGGTTATCTACCCTTACATTACCTAGCTATGGTTATTTACCCTTACATTACCTAGCTATTGTTATCTCCCCTTAAATGACCTAGCTATGGTTTTCTACCCTTACATATGACCTAGCTATGGTTATCTACCCTTACATGACCTAGCTATGGTTATATCTCCCCTTACATTTGATCTCCCCTTACATTACCTAGCTATGGTTATCTCCCCTTAAATGACCTAGCTATGGTTATCTACCCTTACATATGACCTAGCTATGGTTATATCTCCCCTTACATTTGATCTACCCTTACATTACCTAACTATAGTTATCTCCCCTTACATGACCTAGTAGTGTTAGGAATCAATTGTAAATTCATACTCGATAATCACTTTCAATCAAGTGACTGACGATCGACTAATGATCGATCAAATTGAACTTAAATTCAGTAATTTAAGGTTATATTCGCTTTCCGAAATCTACTTTCACTTTCGTTTCGGGGGGAAACCCGATGTTAGAGAACTTTGCTAATAATGCACATTATTCATACAAAACCAATAAGTTTGTTGACAGAACTTTACAATTATTGAAAAACATGTATTTGGAAATGAAATTAATGATGTTTGCAATGTTCATTATGCTGTGACAGCTGCATCTCATATTCAGAAATGCTGCGAAGGATTGGCATTCACCTGATGACATCCCGTCAAACCTAACATTTTATTTGTAAGATAGCCCACACTTTTGATAAATTGTTTTATTTATATCCAGCTAAGGAGAAACAATACCTTCCAAACATTTAAATCAGTAGCCCCCTGATGATCATAGAGTTTAATATCAGGAATGTCCTGGTTTGCCATATTGTCATGCACTGACTGAGCCATGCAGCATTTCTATTGAAAAGCAAGTTCTGATTGGTTGTCGGGTGGACCAGCTAGCCAATCATCGTCGTCGTTGTGTGAGACGTTAGGTCAAGTTGTTTTGCCCCAGAACAAACAACTCGCTGTCGGCAGTAATAACAGTAACTATTCAGGTTTATTTTTTGTTAATAGTTAAGTTAGTCAAACTATAATCGATCATGGAAAACAAGGAACGATTAATCGATTTTCAGAAACAAACAACCCCACGTCGACTAAATCGATTAATCAGAACACTATGACCTAGCTACGGTTATCTCCCCTTACATTTTATCTCCCTTTACATGACCTAGTTATTGTTATATCCCCTTACATGACCTAGCTATTGTTATATCCCCTTACATTACCTAGCTATTGTTATCTCCCCTTACATGACCTAGCTATAGTTATCTACCCTTACATGACCTAGCTATGGTTATATCCCCTAACATTTGACCTAGCTATGGTTATCTCCCCTTAAATTACCTAGCTATGGTTATCTCCCCTTACATATGACTTACTATGCTTATTACCCCCTAACATGATCTAGCTATGGTTATCTCCCTTTACATATGACCCAGCTATGGTTTTCTCCCCTTACATGAAAAGGAATCATATCAGTAACTTGACCTGACCTACCCTATCATGGTACAATGCTATTGTAAAAAGAAAATCCCTAAATAGGCACTTGACTGTGTCTGTCTGTGTGACAGTGATACAAGTGTGTACATATCTGTCAGATACAACACTTCTTCGGACATTTACCTTGACTGTGTCTGTCTGTTTGACAGTGATACAGGTGTGTACATATCTGTAAGATACAACACTTCTCCCCGACATTTACCTTGACTGTGTCTGTCTGTGTGACAGTGATACAGATGTGTACATATCTGTCCGATACACCAAATCTCCCCGACATTTACCTTGACTGTGTCTGTCTGTTTGACAGAGATACAGGTGTGTACATATCTGTAAGATACAACTCTTCTCCCCGACATTTACCTTGACTGTGTCTGTCTGTGTGACAGTGATACCGGTGTGTACATATCTGTCAGATACAACACTCTCCCCGACATTTACCTTGACTGTGTCTGTCTTTGTGACAGTGATACAGGAGAGTACATATCTGTCAGATACAACACTTCGCCCCGACATTTACCTTGACTGTGTTGGCCTGAGTGACAGAGATTTGGGTGTGTACATATCCGTCCAGATACAACGCTTCTCCCCGACATTTACCTTGACTGTGTCTGTCTTTGTGACAGTGATACAGGTGTGTACATATCTGTAAGATACAACACTTCCCCCCGACATTTACCTTGACTGTGTCTGTCTTTGTGACAGTGATACAGGTGTGTACATATCAGTAAGATACAACACTTCTCCCCGACATTGACCTTGACTGTGTCTGTCTGTGTGACAGTGATACTGGTGTGTGCATATCTGTCAGATACAACACTTCTCCCCCGACATTTACCTTGACTGTGTTGACCTGAGTGACAGAGATTCGGGTGTGTACATATCTGTCAGATACAACGCTTCTCCCCCGACATTTCCCTTGACTGTGTCTGTCTTTGTGACAGTGATACAGGTGTGTACATATCAGTAAGATACAACACTTCTCCCCGACATTTACCGTGACTGTGTTGGCCTGAGTGACAGAGATTCGGGAGGGTACATATCCGTCCAGATACAACACTTCTCCCCGACATTTATCTTGACTGTGTCTGTCTGTGTGACAGTGATACCGGTGTGTACATATCTGTCAGATACAACGCTTCTCCCCCGACATTTCCCTTGACTGTGTCTGTCTGTGTGACAGTGATACAGATGTGTACATATCTGTCCGATACACCAAATCTCCCCGACATTTACCTTGACTGTGTCTGTCTGTGTGACAGTGATACTGGTGTGTGCATATCTGTCAGATACAACACTTCTCCCCGTCATTTACCTCGACTGTGTTGGCCTGAGTGACAGAGATTTGGGTGTGTACATATCCGTCCAGATACAACGCTTCTCCCCGACATTTACCTTGACTGTTTCTGTTTGTTTGACAGTGATACAGTTGTGTACATATCTGTCAGATACAACACTCTCCCCGACATTTACCTTGACTGTGTCTGTCTTTGTGACAGTGATACAGGTGTGTACATATCTCTCAGATACAACAAATCTCCCCGACATTTACCTTGACTGTGTCTGTCTGTTTGACAGTGATACAGTTGTGTACATATCTGTCAGATACAACACTCTCCCCGACATTTACCTTGACTGTGTCTGTCTTTGTGACAGTGATACAGGTGTGTACATATCAGTAAGATACAACACTTCTCCCCGACATTTACCGTGACTGTGTTGGCCTGAGTGACAGAGATTCGGGTGTGTTCATATCCGTCCAGATACAACACTTCTCCCCGACCTTAACCTTGACTGTGTTGGCCTGAGTGACAGAGATTCGGGTGTGTACATATCCGTCCAGATACAACACCTGTCCTATATCTGGTCTATATCTCTGTAGATCTACTTCCTCGTCAGACAGAGGTATACTTCCGGTACAGACCACACCACTGCCAATCCGCAGGCCAAGCATTATCTCCCCCTTCATTAAAAAATATATACATCATCAACAAGGATATCTTCTCTCCTTTAGAGAATAGGTACAGACTATCAAATTATATCATTTCCCCTTTCATAAGACATAAAGTCAAAATTATTTCAACAGTTTTAATTATCAGTAAAACAAAATTTTGGTTTGTGATGATAAAATTGTTACGATTTTGATGTCAGAATAGCATTAAAGTAGCAATCAAAAGAATTGCTCATCTTTTTTTAGTAGGTATTGAGGAAAATGAGTGTCACAAACCTCACTGACTGTTTTTTATTTATCAAACACCGCTAAAATATACCTTACCTCAAACCTAGGAGGACTGTATGTCTTTCCAGAGGGCAATGTCCATTGTGACCCGGTGGTATCCATGACCATAAGGTCAAGGTCACTCTGGTTGGTCATGAGGCACCACGGTGACAGGTTCACTAGAAGTGTGTTAGATCCTGGCCAATATTCGGATAAGTTTATGTTCAAGGTCATTGTAAGGTCGGCAGCATCCACGTCGGAGATGTCCAATGATTCCATACAATTATCACCAGATGGCGCTGTGTAAACAGCCTCACATTCATTGTCATAGCTAAAACACAGGAATTGCTTAAAAGTTAATATAGCTCAACAGGTGATATGTTTGAGTGATGCTTTGATGATATCAGACAAATGACCTGTGAAGTGTTTGGACACAATGGTGACAATATGTACTAGTCAGGGCAGTATGGACAACTTAGATTCGTACATCGAGTTATCACACAGCTATATTGTTAGTGTACGTACACCGAGTTATCACACAGCTACATTGTTAGTGTACGTATACCGAGTTATCACACAGCTACATTGTTAGTGTACGTACACCGAGTTATCACACAGCTACATTGTTAGTGTACGACACCGAGTTATCACACGGCTACATTGTTAGTGTACGTACACCGAGTTATCACACAGCTACACTGTTAGTGTACGTACACCCAGTTATCACACAGCTACATTGTTAGTGTACGACACCGAGTTATCACACAGCTACACTGTAAGTGTACGTACACCGAGTTATCACACAGCTACACTGTGAGTGTTCGTACACCGAGTTATCACACAGCTACACTGTAAGTGTACGTACACCGAGTTATCACACAGCTACATTGTTAGTGTACG